CAACCCACCCTTTAGATATTTGTAAGCAATGATGTCTCCCCTCAGCCTTCTCTTCTCCAGGCTAAAGAGTCCCAGCTTTCTCTGCCTTTCCTCATAACGGAGATGCTCCAATCCCTCAGTCATCTTAGTTGCCCTTTGCTGCACTGTCTCCAGCAGTTCCCTGTCCCTCTTGAACTGGGGAGCCCAAAACTGGACACAGTATTCCAGTTATGGCCTCACCAGTGCTGAGTAGAGGGGGAGAATGACCTCCCTCGACCTCCTGGTCCCACTCTTCCCTATGCAGCCCAGGATTCCATTGGTCTTCTTGGCAACAAGGGCACATTGCTGGCTCATGGACACAATTTACTATCTACCAGGACCCCCAAATCCTTCTCCTCAGAACTACTTCCCAGCAAGTCCACCCCTAATCTATACTGCTGCCTGTTAAGGCAAAACACGTCTGTCAGCCGGGGTATTTTTAACCTACATGGAAAGCCATTGGGGTGGAATGGCTCTGTGCAAAGTGTAACAGGTAGGGTGCCTTCCTGGGAAACCCGGCTCAGAAGCACATGGGCTTATGTGCTGCTCCAGCGTTTTCTTGGGAAAACAAAATGAGCTTGCAGATCTTAATCGGCATTTTTGAGCAAGTGCCCATGTCACAAAACCCGTTAGCTCCTATGGAGAAGAGATAAAAGGTTCTGGTAAACAAGATTATTCGTTCCAGGAGTGTGCCGCAGTGCTGGTGTATGGAGGAAACTGTCCCGAGACCAACTAAACAAGAATGTTTTAATATTATTAAAACGAAGACACAGCTAGGGAAATGTAGTCGTCAGACTCTTGATCCTCTTCCCAAGCAATATATTTATTTTATTCTTGCTTTATTTAATTACCTTTGGCTTGTGGCCCCTTCAAAAGTTTTTGAAACTTTTTGTATGTTTTTGAAAGTAACTTTGGTACCTGAAGTATTTACATAAGTAATGCCGGGGTTGCTATGTTGCATGCTGTACCTCTTCTATGTGCTTTGGAGAAAAAAAAAAAAAAGTGCTGAAAAATGATTGGTTTGTGAAACCAACATCACACTAGTCAGATGCTGTTTTAGAATAACTCACCTCTGCTATACTCTTCTGCAACTTACAGACATCAGGGCCTCAGTTTCTGTAACATAACACTGGAAACAGGAATCATAACAGTGGGAAGTGTCTCTGTTACCCAAGTGAGTTTAAACATTCAGCATTACAACTGTTATCTCTTTAGAATAACCAGAATTATTTACTGCCCCTTCAGTTCATGGTTGATGACTTAAAACATAGTGTGTGGCAACAGATTTAAGTTCCTTGGGGCCCCTGACTTTAATTACTTCTATCTTTTTGTCAAAATAAGAGCTATTTGTGACTTTCCTTCCCAGCTACTTTGCAAAGCAGAAGTTACGGACCTGTGTGTTCATATTGTGCTCATCACAGTTTGGGTAGGGGAGAGATGTTTTGGGGTTGGGGGCTGCAATGAAAACAGGGAATTCTTACTTTTTTTAATTGTTGCTCGTGTACCACTCCTTTTTATGTGCTGATGTTTCACTGTCCTGGACTGTCTTTGTGGGCTACAGCAAGAAAAAGACCCCAAAGGAGGGACTGGGGGCAGGTGCCTTGCCCCCAACTTGCATCCCGTGGGATTCTCCCTTTTTGTGGTGGGTGAACGGCGGGCAGAGCGCTGCAGCCGGGATGGGTGCCGCGGGGTTGGGTGGTCTGAACAAGTGCCAAGCACAGAGTTTCTGCCAGAGACAACTGCCTGCTTGGTAACACCGTTATTTCTGCAAATACGAATTGTCTGCACTCTCATAAACAAATTATACTTGGGCCTGGCTGGCTGGCATGTTTCTGCTGTGGAAATTATTTCAGTTAGATAGAAAACGTGTCTCTATGTAAAACATTTTTGAATTAAGTTGTTAAGCTTGTACAATTCCTGATATGGACAAAACTGTACCCGTATGAGTTGCCTCCCTTTCAGGCGAGAGCTGATGTACCGCTATCAAGGCTGGAACGGAGCTTTCACTCTGCTGCTGTCATTTATTTAGTATAATCTCGTTTGTCATTTAGTTAGTATAGCCTCATTTGAAACATCTTAATATAGATTCAGATGCATCTCATGGAGCTGGGCTTTCCTGGTCACATCAGAGGATTTTTTTGTTGTTGTGCTAAATATTCTTACAGTTTTAAGAACTTCAAAATAATTGCACTGGATTTTTTTAGCTTGTTACGTCTTACTGATTTAATATCCATAGTAGCATGGGTAGGAGTATGATAGTTTCAAGTCATAGCATTGATTTTTCAAGGCAGGTGCCATATCAAATGTTTTCCTGTAATGGATATGTGGGTTTTTGCCAAGGTAATGATGTCCTTCAAATGCAGGAAAGCTGCAGCTTAGACCCAAAGCTGTGAAGGGGGAGGATTTTGCAGATCAGAGCACTAGAGGGCAGCGCTGACCGCTGCAAGTACCTTAAAGCCATGCGGGGGCTAAACGGCCCCAAAGATTTTGGAGCCTGTCTGTAAGGTGTCTCATAGCTCTGCAGAAATATCGGTTGTTCGAAATGAGTAGAGAGTTTACCTCCTTGTTTCTCGGCAGGTTTACCATGTCTCTTCTGACAGCTATGAGACACAGAACCAGCACTATGGAAGGAGCCTGACAAAGGAAACAGTGAAGGACGGTAAGGGAATCTGTGTGCCAGAATTCGGTGCTCTACGTTAACAACAAATACAAATGTTGGGTGGTGATAACTATTTCAAATTAGTTATTAACTGACGTCTGTTTATCTGTCCCCCACCGAGGGGTAGAAGGGCACATACACAGACACGCACACACCCCTCTCCAGAGCTGGCACTAACTTGTCAGCTCTGTCACTCATGATAAAGTGCCGCCTGAGCTTATTTGTCCCTGGAGAATTGAATGGGTCCCATCCAAAACTGTCTAGATATTTGCTAAAATGATCTGGGGAGCAGGAACCATGTTCATCTCCTGATCGATTAATTAGTTTTATTTATATTCCAAGCCCAAAGTGTAGTATTATACAGCAGGCCTTATACAGGTGAGGTTGACTGAAGGTATCAGAGTGTCTCAGTTTATTTTTGATTTAATTCATAATTGCCTGAAAGGAAACCATGTGCATACTGTCTATTTCTTCAAATCAAGAACTAGTCCCTTCCCAAAAGAAATGAAGAATGTTTGATTTCAGAGGTGAAAATAATCCCCAAACATGTCTATTTCTTGCAGGCATCTCAAAGTTTTTCCACAACGGCTACTGCTTGAGGAAAGATGCGATAGCCGCCAGCATTCAGAAGATTGAAAAAATTTTGGAGTGGTTTGAGGGCCAGAAGCAACTCAACTTTTATGCAAGCTCATTACTCTTTGTTTATGAAGGTTCATGTCAGGCGACAACCGTGCGGTTGAGTGATGTCACCTTGGCAGAGAAGAGAGGAGTGCCCAAGGGACTGCTATCAGGTGGAGACATACTGGAGTATAATAATAATATTCGTGTAATAAATTCTACAGAGAATGGAAAAATCGAGGCCTCTGTAAGTAAAGGCTTGTCCAAATTTTATGCACTTCACAAAAAGGCATACTCTAAGAGGCACCACAGTCAGCTCTCACTGAAAGTCGAAAACTTGGAGGAAGACAACGTGTGGAAAAGCAGCACGTGCATTACACAGGAGCATCTGAACGGAAACGTTATACCCCAACTGGAAAAAGTTTTCTGTCACATGCCAGCAGAGATCAAGGAAAGCGCAAACGTAGAAGTCAGAATGATTGATTTTGCTCATGTGTTTCCCAGCAACACGAAGGATGAGGGCTACATTTATGGTCTGAAGAATTTAATCACAGTACTTCAAAATATTTTGGATAACTAAATTCTTTGCTATGGTTTTTACTGGGGGCCAATGATAAAGAAGAGCAACAACGTGAAGAATTTCTGCACTTGTAATGCTGTATAACTGGGTTTGTATTGTTCTATATTTTATTTGTCTTTGTACTTTTGGTAGAAGGGTTTAACTTTTTATAATCTCACTCAGGAAAATAATTGATAGTTAATTAGGGAGTGTGAAAGGATGAAGATACTGGAGATTAAGCAAGATAGGTAAATTAGTAGGATGAAATGCAAATGGTTGGCTGAAATCCAAGGAGTACAGTTGTACTATAAGCAAGGGTTATGGTAGTTCCCATAACGACTTTTGCGTAGATAACATTTGCCCACTTAGCCTTGACACTGAGCCGTATCTCCATTAACAGGTGTTTAGAAAATGGACTGAAAACTCTTAACGTGCAGGATTGATGTCCTCAGTACTGCCCTCTTGTGTTTACTGTATTGGAATAACTGGAGTTAACCCGACTTTGCGAGAAATCCCGTTTTGAGTCAGTAGCCTAACCTGGAAGCCAGCGTATCAAAAAGTGCTTTCCAATGTCACGGGACGATATTGCTGTTCTTTCAGCCCTGGTGTGGCCACTTCCCCTCATGGTGGTTGTCCGTAGCCGATGTTCACCGTAGACAAGCCACAACGTAATTTGTGTTGAGGTGCTAAGAAAATGCTGGAGTAAAGTATCGTAACAGGCTTAAACTGCACAACTGCTAGAGAAACTGTTCCTAAGAAAGAGTAAAAGAATGCAAACGCGAGATGTTCCAGGAACAAATTTGGTTTAGGAGGTTAAGTCAATCTGTTAATGGAGTGTCTGATGTTGGACTAAGAGAAATACCTCCCTCCTGTGTTCTGATGGCCCTTCTCCAAAAAACATTGCTTTTAAAAGCAAACTAATTGAATGGAGAAACAAAGCGTTTTGAGTAAGCATACGGAGATTTCCTCCAGCCCTTTGCCGCTTGTATTTTTTCAACAAGCGTTTCACATTGCCACTGCTGGGGAGCACCGACTGGAAAGGACGAGCAATACAGGTGAAGGACCCTTCGCTGGGAAGATCCAGTTCAGCCCCGGAGCAGCCGGACGTACCTCCGTTTGTTGCAGTGGAGTTGGGGCTCTCTTACCCTGAGCTAAAGCTGGCTCTTTTTTTTTTTTTTTTTCCTTTTTTTTAAATGACACAGAGGCAAGCGGTGTCATTTGAAAGTTGTCCCACTCCCTTCTTTTTCACAGGAAAAATTCAAGCTTTCATATGGAATATTTGAGAGCGGGATGACGTATGCAAAGCATTTTTGGTATGTCTCTTCTGTATGCGTGTACACGGCTGTTCTACCGTGCCTATGTAGTCAGCTATCCGAAAAGTCGGGACGGAGGAGTCTTGCCATCTATAGAGCAAGATTTTAATGCTTTAGGCAAGCCCCAGAAGTAAAACTGGTTAGAATGGATTTGCTCGTTGGAAACATACGTCCTTTACCTGTGGACTTAATGTGACACTGTGGCCTTGCCGCGCTCTCTGTGTGATGTTCTGCACTATGCACTCATTTGTGTACACGTCTTTGCAAGTTGTCGATTTGACATCTGTTTTCTATATCAGAAAGAGAAATACTTTTTCAAGCAAATACGCTGTTTTTAAATAAAGCTGGAATTTTAGCTCTGTTTGAGAACCTGGGGTAATTGGAAGAAACAGGGTATTATGTGGAGAACTACATTGTTTAAGCTTTAGAGCTAACACTGGCCAATGTGTTCAAAAAAGAAACAATCTGTTAGTAACGTAATGTTTTTGAAGCACGGGAAAAGACGCTTGCAGGAGGGGCAATATCATTTCATTGAAAATTTTATGCAAATTATGGCGAAGGCTGAGGGGAAAATACCAAGAAGAGAAACTATTTTTGTTTTCTACCGGGTATTTCCGTTGCACCATGTAGTTAATATATTCCAAACTCTCTGTGAACTAATTTAAGCCATATTCTAGGACGAGTTTGTGGTTTTGTTTGCTTTAACGCTGGTTTCTCTGTTAAGATTTTGTTGTTCTATCCCGTAAATAGTCAACACTAGAGTAGTCTAGGCTGGTAGTGGGCCTTGTATGATAAATTCACAATGTTTTATAGAAAAAAAAATAGGGGAAAACATTTATACATCTGAATTTTTGTCCTCTGTAATTCATCTCTTCCGGATTTTAATCCAATTTGTGCCGGAGAAATCAGACATCTGCCTCAAAGAAGTCAGTCATTGGAAAATGATGTGTACGCTCTTAGTATAAGCGCATTCTCCTGTCTCTGCTTTAAGATATACGTCTTCAGTGTTTGAATGCTCTTTAAGTATTGATTGTTGTGTTGACTATGGCAGTGTTTGTAATGCACCTGGAATATTGTTAAACTGTCAGAATATTTTGAATAAAAAAAAAAAAATAAAGTAATTTTACCATGTTTTTTTACTGGTAGTTATTATGGATGTATTTCTGTTAATTTAAAATGTAGCTTGAGAGATAACAGTATTTTTAATTGGAAGTTGTGTAAATAAAGCTTGCTGTTAGAGGTGTTTTGGCATAGTACCAACTGTGAATTTACGCCTGCGAAGGCGTTATATTCACATTGTTCTTGCACATTTTAGAGTGGGTGTTTCTAGTGTCTTGTAGCTGATCAGGTTGCTTTCAGTTATAGCTGGAGATGTATTCGCAGAAATCATTAAACAGATGACAGAATTAATTAGAAAAGGAAGAGGGAGACACTGGTCACTAAATGTATGTATTGCCGCCGATCTCCCTCCCTCCCTCCCTCCCTGCGACGTCTCTCGTTCTCTGTATGAAGCATACAGGGCAGGCGACAGTTATGTGGAAATCTTTACGGAAATGGGAATAAGGCTTATAGGTATTTCTGTCCCATAAAACTGAAAGCGGGTCCCTTCCCCAGAATGGTGTGGTGTATCTCTCATTGATGACATCTTTTGATTTTAAGCAATAAGAGTTTGATTGAACAGAATCGATTGTCAGAAGGGAAGATTCATGGGAGCGTTGTGGTTCGTGTACTTTCTGAGGATATACTTTTCTGAAGACTTTCTACCTAGGTGATTGTGAGAGTTGTGTATAGGCTTACCTAATGAGAGCTTGAATTGTATAAAGTTTTATAAAAAAGCATTTACATATATGGTATTTTTGGATATGGGTGGAATTTGTTGCATAAATGACATGGGAAATTATTATACCATTATGAAATGTTTAAAGTATTTTAATCAAATAATTTTATGAACTAAACCAGAGACTTTACCTATAGTTGTGATTCACATGAAACTTGTACTGTTTTCTCTTTTTTTTTTTTTTTTTTCCTGCTGTAATGCATACTCAGATCGTTCTTTTCCATAACCATACAGTTTTGTGGAGAATTTTTGAAGTACTCAGTAGATTAGGAAATCACTAATTCCCTTTAGTTTGATTACAGAGTGCGTACATTCTTGAAATACTTCGGTGCACATGGTATTTTAAGTAATGTTAGCGAATTGTACATCTAGAGGCCCAGTAAAACTTCCTCACCTGCGGAGAGCTCTCGCTGATCCGAGTCTGGATCACGCAGTATTTAAAATGGGCCTTTGCACATGCAGCAGCAGCAGCAGGAAGGCATCGCGTGCGCTGGCCATGTCAGGCGGGGCTGCTTCCAGCACCTGAACTTACAGATTTTTGTCATTGTTTTCCCATTTCACGATGGGAAGTATTATCAAATTCAGGAGGACAGTGGAAAAACGGAGACCCGCATCTGCTGTTTAAAGCGATCATTAATTGTTCATCCTCCCTCCTAATATTTTTTTTCCCCCTCTCCAAGTAAGCTTTCCCCCTGAGTGCCTTCTTCAGCCCTTGCCACTGGTAACCTCCTGTAGCATCATTGTGGAATGACTTAAAGTGAAATTTTTGTTTCCTAAACAACTTATGCCCCATAACGGCTCTTAAAGTGCAGGTATTGAAAAACACCAGCAAAAT